TCAAAGGAATCTTTATCTGTCCCTTCCCCTTTTTGACTTCTCCATTTTTCGCGGGGTCCCCCCAAGCTGGCATTTCGCTCCAGACCGTGCCCGACACGAAAAAGGTGCAACTGGGAGTCTCTGCAGTTACCAGCATCTCCAGACATGCCACAGCCACGTCCGGGCAGAAAAAAATAAAAAAAACAAACAAAAAACAAACCCACAACCCCTTAAAGCACTGCAATTCAGTCCTTGTGAGTATATAAACACACAAAAAAATAAGACTTCTCAAGGAGAGCTGGTTGCAGCCTCTGGGAGAGGTTGGGATCTCTCCTACAGAACTTCACCCCCAGACACACGCGGGCGGGGAGAGCCTACAAAGGAAACTGCACATTCATCCCCGTCCAGGCGCTAAGGGGGGGGCTGCCGGGAGCGGGGTGACCCTCGGGGTGAAGGGGAGGTGGCCCCCAAATCCCCCTCGCCCCCCTTTCCCAGCCTTTCTCCCCCCCCCCGGGCTGAGGCTGGCGCAACCCCCTAAAGCACTGCAATTCAGTCCTTGTGAGTATATAAACACACAAAAAAATAAGACTTCTCAAGGAGAGCTGGTTGCAGCCTCTGGGAGAGGTTGGGATCTCTCCTACAGAACTTCACCCCCAGACACACGCGGGCGGGGAGAGCCTACAAAGGAAACTGCACATTCATCCCCGTCCAGGCGCTAAGGGGGGGGCTGCCGGGAGCGGGGTGACCCTCGGGGTGAAGGGGAGGTGGCCCCCAAATCCCCCTCGCCCCCCTTTCCCAGCCTTTCTCCCCCCCCCCGGGCTGAGGCTGGCAGAAGCAGGGGGATCCTGTACACAACTTTTTTCAAACTGCCAGGCAGAAGAATCCCAGTCTTTCCAAGGGAGTGTCGGTAAATCATCATTACATCCGACAACGCAACCAAGAGGGATTAACCCTTTGCTGGTCCAACCCCGGAAAATAATCATCATAATAATAACAACAAACAACGACAAGAAGAAAATTTAACAATGAAAAATAGTAAAAGCCGGCCCCAGCTGTGCGAGGAAGAGGACGGGCAGGGTGTGTGCTGGGATATTTTCTTTTTTTTCTTTTTTTTATACACACGTATCGGGATAGAAAGAAGGGTTTGTGCGCGCCTGGGTGCGTGGAGCACATGCCACCAGGCACCCACCAACCTCTGCCCGTGTCTCAGCCCTTCCCCTGCCTCTCCCGCTTCCCGGAGGATTTGCGGCGCCCACCTCCAGGTACCGGTGTCCCCACGGCCCCGCGGGACGGGGACAAGGGAGCACCATTTCA